AATAGGTGTTGCCTTTCTTACAATATCCCTATTAATCAAGTTTATTGGTTATAACTTAAAAAACGATAGACAAATATGAGAAATAAAGTAGATTGAGGTTTTATATTTAGGACCAAATAAAAATCAAATGAGGTCTTATATTAAAAACAAGATGCGGTAATTTTTGATATGTGTATATATAATTATAAAATATAAGATTATGTTTTTAGAAAACTAAATAATTATTTTCAACAAAAAAAAAACCATACGTAGGGGGTGGGGGAAGAACCACTCAAAAAGCAAAAATTTTTAGCTTATTACAAAACCTTGGTTTTGATAGGCAAACCATGGTTTTGTCATAAAACCATGGTTTTGAAAAATTGATAGGTGTTTGGGTAATTTTTTCCCAAACCATGGTTTGGACAATCACTCGAAACGAAGATGGAGATAGATATGAAAATGGAGATGGAGATGAGGTTTGAAAACATGTTTGGTATAAGTATGGAAATCGAATTTAAATTTTAATTAAAATATATATTAAAATGTGTAAATACTAAAACACCCTCAAGAATTAAAAAAAGAAAAAGCACCTCCTCCGCCACCTGAATCTAACATCGAGAAGTCTTTGCCCAACATCATCAACAATGTGGCGTAAATAATCAATCTACAAGCATCGATTATCACCAGGAAAAAGAAACGCACATGTAGAAGCAAAAATCATGGTTCTTCTAATATGCAAAAGTTGATGGAACTTCAACCAAAGAAGTAAAAATCATTTTTCTTCATAGATGCAAAAATTGATCGAGCTTCGGAAAAAACGATTTCTTTAGAATTGATGACCCATGTTTTCAAAGGTTAATTTTTCAATGGTTTTGTCCATTTTGTCAGATTTGAAACTATAAAATCAGAGCTTAGTTTGAAGATTAGGCGAACAGAGTTTGGGTTAAAGGATAAAGACTTCTAAGAGGTAGTCGTCGCTATCGCCTTCAGGCTGTCGGAACAAAGGTCGGTAGTCGCCGGTGATGAGCTTGAAGGTCGTTGGAGCAAAGGTGGGTAGTCGCTGGCGATAAGCTTGAAGGCCTTCGGACTTTCGCTTGCATAGTTGCATCTGGTTAAGGAGGGTAAAAACGAAATTAGAGAGATAGAATTACAAATCTTGGGGCGTGAGGGTGGAGGCCAATTCCACCACTTTTGGCGGAAATGGAATTGGCAAATTTTCCAATTCCATCATACCAAACAAACATCTTGATGAAAATCAATTCCATTTCCATTTCCATACCTTCCAATTCCATCATACCAAACATGGCATTAATATTTGTGTTAACGTAGCCCATGAAGATGAAGCCTAATACAGGTTATTTTTTTTACTGTTGGACTCCAATGCTCCAATCGTCTATGGATGGGGGAAACTGGCAACTCTCTTGAAAGGCTACCAGAACTTGCTGCGGTAATCGATGACCTCCTCGCCGCAAATTCGCTAGGCAGTCTCCGTCAGGAGTTTGCTGTTAGAGGTCAAGCGCGGGATTCATTTTTCATCCATGGATCGAAGACATCTAACATCCAAGAATATAATGGGATTTTGGAGCTTGATTTTTTCATCAACCTTCAAACCTTAACAGGTGGGTTCGCTGATTTCTTTAGTGGCATGTCTTTTACAACCATGAAATTCGAGGTTTAGACTCATAATAAGTCGCTTGTCTCTATTGTTTTCATCCTCTTTGGTTGTCACGGGTCGATTCACAATCGGAGCACTGTTCGGGGATTGGGTTTTGATCCTGGTATTGCACTCATTTGATTCGGGAGATATTAGAGGTCATGCGACAGATTCTTAATAGCTTCTCTGCACCTTCCCTATATATTAGTGGCTACCCATTAAAGCTCCTGGCTCATAAATTTGGTGACAACTACAATTTTAGCTTTGGCAGTAACATGACGGTTCAGGTCTTATCTCTCTATGCCTTCATTGTCTATGTTATGCACTCTGATTGGCGACCCACCATTGATGATTGCTATCATAATGGTTCCAAGATGCGCACAAGCTGTTCGTCTTTTTGTTACTCCAAAATTTTCCTTCCATGTGTTCGTATTGCAATGCTGTTACTATTTTATATTTTGGGGTTTGATCCTGGAGATGCTAAGGGTAATTGGTCTTCAAAGGAAGCTAGTGCATATGATCCATTTTCATGCTGGAATAGTAGTTTTCCCTGTGCTTCTCCTTCAATAACATTGATAAATGAGTGTGCATTTACTTTATGTGTCGGGTATTGTATGACCCATAGCAGTATTAAGTATGAGCATAAGGTGCTTGACCAGATGACTGAAAGAAAAAAAGATGTGACTTCTTGGTTTGAGTTCTTTGAAGCAAGTGCCGTCCCTATTGATTCAATTTTCCCGCAAGGACATTGGTTCTCAATTACAAGGAGTTTCAAAGTGGAGATAGGACTCACTCTGCATAACTTGTCACGATTGACCATCCATGGACTGGAGTTATTCGAGTTCCTAATCCTTGCCTCTTTTATTGCCATTATCGAAGCTCTGCCACATGACATCCAGCAAGTGATTCCTCTGACAATTGCCAAGATTTTCTCTCAATCATGGTGCAATGCTGTAACTTTTAAATTGGATGAACAGGACATCATTCTCGTTTTACTTTGCACGCATAGCATAATATCTTGCGACCTTAAGGACAAGGTCATTGTTAAGGGGGAGGAAATGTAACGACTCAGTATGAGGATATTCATAAGAAAGGCCACGTGTTAAGAAAATGGAAAAGGGAATGTGTTTATCATAAGGAAGTTGCAAATGTGGGAGTGAGTGGTGTAGAGGTGGTTACACTATATTAAGGGAGATGCGAAATGAGAATAGGGTGTGGATGATTTAGATGATCTTTTCTCTGGTCCCATTCTTCGAGAATCTTCTCTCTGTGACTCTTCTTCTTCCTCCCTCTATTTCCCTGTTAATTCATTTTACAGTGTTCTTTCAATGTATTTTCAGATGCCTGTAATTGTTACAAACTGGATTGAATCTTAAATACAAACTTGTTATTCCATTTTGCTGAGATATTACAATTTAGATCGTTACACGGACCTTCCATAGTCTCATCCCTTTGTAGATTACTCCCAACCCACCTAACCCAATCAACCTCATTTGACCTCGTCACAGCTTGTCTCTGGTGTTGTCGTACAAAAGCTTTAGAACTAGACCCATAAGACGATGTTCGTCTCATGTTCTTGGCTAATGCACGCATGGGACGTAATAGATTCAACCCTCCATTACCAAAAGGGTATTATGGGAATGCCGTGGTGTTTTCGACGGCGGTTTAGACCTCTGGAAAACTGTGTGAGAGTCCGTTAGAATATGGTTTGGAGTTGGTTAGAAAAGCAAAGGATGTAGTGAATGGTGAGTATTTTCACTCTGTGGCTGATCTGTTGGTGAGTAGAGGATGATCCATTTTCACAACAGGGAGGTCGTTTATTGTTGCAGTTTTGTCACGTCTTGGATTTAAAGATGTTGATTTTGGGTAGGGCAAGGCTGTGTTTGCTGGTCCTGCTTTGAGCAAACCTGGCACATTTCAAGGATTCACTTTCCACGTTGGATATACGAATAGTAAAGGTGAGGAAGGAAGAATCATACCTGTTTGCTTGCCACCAGAAAGCATAGAGAAATTTTGCCAAAGAATTGGATCTCTTGCTTAACAGTGTTGACCAATCTTCCATTGATGGTTAATGCGTAGATGCATGCAAAAATGCCATCAAGTATTTGCATTGTTATTGTGTTTATACATATATGTATATGTATATGAACATGTATGCACGTCTTATGTATGTTCATGTTTTTTATGATGATGTCCGTTGTGATGCACTGAAGCTGATCTGCAGTAGTATACCATGGGGTACGGTAGTGGAAGTGCGTTCATTAATATCAGAGTTTTGTTTAGCAAACCATAATTTTCCAGTGAAGTGCTAATTATGTTAGATCGTAAGTTTACCAGAAATCCCAATGTGATTGGACCAAATTGAACTAGACGCATACTTTTGATCTTGAACCAGTTTGGATGCTGGTAATCAGAGACATTATCGCTTATGTGCATGGTCAGTTTGGTCATCTATATATGCTTGGGGATGAAACCCTCTGACGTCAACAACTTGTAAAAAGAAGAAAACATGTGACCAAGTAAGGCTTTAAAAATTTGTCCCATTATGGCTACTACCTTTGTTGTTTGATCCATTATCTTTCAAAGTATGGATGTTAGTGGATAATTGTATTACTTAATGAACGTGATGGTTGAAAGTGAAGAAAATAGAACCTAACTGTTTCTTTGCCAACAAATAAAACCACAGATGATAAAATTGCTCATTTAACACTAATTAAACACTGCAGTGATTTACAAAACATCTCACTCAATATGGATTAGGGAGTTTTACACTGAAACATAAAGAGAATGAAATATAAACAAAACAAGAAAGTAACCTAGAAGATCGAGCGGATCTGGTCTTGGTCACTTGTAATTCATCACCACAAAATAGTCGAAATCTCGCCAACAAGATGATTATTTCTGCAACTTTCTCCAACCATCTACATAATCAAGCAAAGTCATCACATCTTCTTAAATTAAACGAAGTATATATAGGGTTAGATATAATTCACGTGTCACATGCTAACAACAATTCACTAATTTATTACAATGTGCATACTCTGACAACTAGCTTCGAGGATTTATTACATTGTATTGTATATTCACATGAGATTGAGAGTAATAAATGTAACATTAAGAAAAAAAATTTGGAATAAAAATATGTACAAAACTTTGAACTTATCATCTTAGCAAAGAGTTTCTCAAGATTGATCATATATTATTACAATGCACAACAATAATCCAGCGAATGACTCTTATTATCAAGGAATCACAATTATGTAGTTGTAAAAAAATGTTTACCTGTTAGTGTTGGGATCTTCTCTTTATCTTCGCTTTCAAAATAGCAACTTGAACATAAATCCAATCGTACATGTTTTTGAAAAAGTTAAAAAAAGAATGCCGCCTAGACTTTTTGAGAATTAAAGTCCCACAAACTCCCCAAAACCCAATAATGAAGCCAAGAGCCATGCTCCCATAAAACCCAAAGCTTATGAGATTATCATCTCCATCTGCATCAATGTCACATGGATTGGGATTCAGATCTGAACTCCCATCTCCTGGACATCTCTCTGTCAGTGGGGGGCCACAGAGCCCAAGGTTTCCTATATAACCGGAGCCATTGAAGGATTGAAGTTGGGTGCCGGTTGGAATTTTCCCTGATAAATTGTTGAAGGCCAAGTTCAACACACTAAGAAAACTCAAACTTGAGAAGCTGATTGGAATTTCACCAGAAAGAGAGTTGTATGACAAATCAAGTGATTCCAACCTTTGCATTTGACCCATGTCGATAGGAATGGATCCTTTCAAATGATTTCTAGACAAGTTTAGGGAAACCAACGCCACAAGTGCAGTTATGCTACTTGGGATTTCTCCTGTTAAGTGATTGCAGGAGAGATCAATGGTTTTCATGAATCGAAGATTCTTACTGTACTCAACATATTCTCCTTTCCATGCCAACATTGCCGTGTCTGTGAATGATGATCTAGTAAGACCTTCAGGAATGACATTAGTAATTTCTTGGCTCGTAGATGTCATATTTGACATTGCATTCAAATTACCAAGGCAGTGAGGTATATTTCCTGTTAAATTATTTTTTGAGAGATCTAAGATTTGAAGATATGGCAAATTACATAAATTTGTAGGAATGCTTCCGTAAAGCTTATTTGCTTGCAAACGTAAGCCAATCAAATTATGCAAGTACAGCCCTATCCATGATGGCAATTTTCCAGTCAAATTATTCTGTCCAAAATCAATGAACAACAAGGACGAAGAATTCATCAAAGGTGGCAAATTCCCATAGAGGTTATTGCTATTCAGATGGATACTTTCAAGATAGTTCAAAGTACCAACTGAATTTGGTATTGGTCCAGAGAAATGATTGTTTTCCAATCTCAGAACCCTCAAGAAAGGAAGTTGTCCCCAACAATCAGGAAGTTTTCCCGACAAAAAGTTGCTTGAAATGTCAAGATGATATAAACCTGCTTGAAGAGTTGCACAGATGAAAGATAAGGTTCCTGCAAACATATTGTTTGAGAGAAGCAACGCCATTGTTGCGTTTGGTGGTAAATATGGTAGGGGACCGGAGAGATTGTTGAAACTCAAATCCAAAATAATATTGTCAATTTTCAAGAGTGATTTTGGCAACTCCCCATAAAGTTTGTTATGGGAAAGATTCAAGTATTGTAAAGAAGATTGCCAAAGCCATTGAGGAATTGAATCTGAAATTGACGCATGCGAAATGTCCAACCTTTTAAGCTCCCTTTGATACTTTAACCAGCAGGGAAAGTGGGGACCAAAATTACATGATGTTGCACGAAATTCTTGCAATTGAAAAGGTGGCACCCAATGCGAACTGAAGTTGAAAAAAATCATATTTTGTGACACATCTAAAACTGTCAAGTTAGAGAGAGTTGAAAGATGTGTTTCATTAATGACAGAATTCAACCTATTGTTGGACAGATCTAAGTACGTCAATGATATAAATCCGGCAAACACCGGCAATGGCCCTGTTAAATTGTTATAACTCAAGTACAATTCGGAAAGGTGAGATAAGTGCCCAAATGATTGTGGAATTGACCCATGAAGACTAGTGTTCTCAAGATCTAAACTCACCAGATTTGAAAATCTTGAAAAATTGGGAAATGGTCCGCTACTAAAAGGATTGTCACTTAACCCCAAGTCCTCTATACTATTTTGAGCGCACCTTAACTGTGGTATCCAATCACTTAATTGACCTGAAAAATTGTTGTAGGACAACCACAACGATTTCAGTCGGCACAAATTGGGATGGATTTTAGCATGCTGTTCTCAAGTTTGTTCCCTCAAGAACAGAATTCAAGAGAAGTGGTGTTTTGGAAAGCATCTGAAGGAATATGTCGCAAAGAATTACCAGAAAGAGATAAAGATTCAAGAGAATTCATATTTGAAAAAGTATTTGGAAAAATATGTTCCAAAGCGTTATCACCGAGATCAAGATTTGTTAAGACGTTGCTAACGTTAGACAACCAGGGTAGTATTGAAGAGTCTAAATTATTTGCTGCAAGAGAAAGGACTTTGAGGGAAGCGGAAGAGTTTGTGCGGACAAAAGAAGCAGGATTGACATGATGAGATGTAAGAGCACAATCTACCAAGTAAATCTTAGACAGATGAGGAGCTTTGGATAATGATGATTGCCAATCAACAGCTTGACTTAGATTGACGTTTGAAAGGTCAAGAGATCTCAAAGAAGAAAGGTGAAAAATCCACTCAAGATCTTTCACAATCAAATCATTAGAGTGAAGGTCGAGATATTCCAAACTGGATAGATTCTGCAGTCCACGAGGAATAGTGCCACCAATTGAAGCATCAAAAATACTTAACTCTCTTACTTGACCAAGTGAACCAATGCATTCTGGAATTTTGCTCCCTTCGAAATCGCTGTAATTGAGATTCAAGTAAGCTAGATGCTGCAAATCACATAATGAGGAATCAATATTACCTCCCAAGGAACTAAGACCAAGCTCGATTACATGACCGGTCAAATTACTGCATGATACTCCACTCCACTCACAGCAATCAGCTTCACTTTTCCAGGTGGATAACATGCCGAACTCATCAACGAAACCATGTTTTAATTTGAGAAGAGCTTCCTTATCCGTCTCTGCGCAACTGATGTTTATATTGGAACATCCTGCACACCAAAAGAGACATAAAACTCCAACAAGCCAAAAGAAATTGAACTTAGAGCTGAACATGCCTAGGATTCTTTTCATTTGGATATGGTAAGAACAGGGGAGGCGTCTTGTGGATGTGAAGTGAGTGATCCATGGGTCATTTATACACAAGCGGTTCACGAAAGTTTTCAAATAATTTTATTTTAGAATGTAGAAATATTGGCGTCAACTAACGTGATAAATATTAATAACTCAGTAGAGGAAGATTTTTGGTTCATGAAAAAGGACTATAATTTTTATTTAAAGTAAAAACAATTGATGTTTAAAACATTCTTATCATTTAATTAATTTGATTAGTCTAAATTTTCTATTCAGAAAGCAAATTATCTGAATCAGCTGATGAAATTTTATCTGAAATGATTGTTTAATTTATAACCTCAAATTAATTCATCAATAGTTAACATTAATAACTCTCATATGAGGCATTCTGGTCATGAAAGGTCTCTAAAAATAATACGTAGAAAAGGTTGTCGTTGCATGAACGATTGATTTGTGTCATTAATCTTTAACAACGTCAGTGGCACACTCATCAACATCACTATCATTTGAGGAAATTACCATTGACGATTATGTGGTTGGAAATTTTTGTTCATGCTGTGAGAAGGTTCGTCTCCTTTTTCGTTCTTCAATAGATGAATATATGGATCAGACTTGAACCAAGATCTACGTATAAAGCACAAATCACGCCAAATTTCTTTTAATTTTATTGAAGTTAATATTAATTATCTGAGTCTAATGCCTTCAGTAAAATTTTAAATTATTCATCCACATATATCATTATTTATTTATTCTGGTGAAATACGAGGAGCATATTTTACCAGCAGTAAAAGCTAATCTCTTTTGGGTAATATAATAAACAAATCTCTTCAGCTAAATTTTCTCCATTCACAATTATATTAAGAACCAATCATCTAATTGATACCATATTGTCTCATTTTGATTGGTTGAAGAATATATGTGTGTGAATATATGTATTACTTATAAAAATATTGTTATAATCCATCAAGTAGACGTCCGAAAAATGTCACAGAACATCAATATTCTCTCAAAACCTTCCCTAATTTTCTAAAACAATTTCCTATTTTTATTTTTTTAGATATATGTATTAATTATAAAAATATTGTTAATAATACTTGTAATGAATCAGCAATTGCTTCTATTATTTTTTCTTTCAGAATTCAAATTGCTTAAATTTCATTTGAGGTTAGGTTAAAAAAATTCTCATCATTTAATTAATTTGATCAGTTAAGTTTTCTCTTAAAATGGAAAATCGTTTGATAAAAGTTCATTTGAAATAATTATTTAATTTCTAACTTAAAATTAATCAATATTAATATCAATCACTCTCATTCGAGGTATTAGGGTAATAAAGGGCGTCCAGAAAACAGAAATAAGAAGTTGCTGTAACATTCATGACTAACTTGTATCATTAATTTTTAATAATATATCTGACCGTTTTCTACGAAATTTTTGTGATCGCAAATTTTCATTCATGTCATATGAAAAGGTTCATCTCTTTAACCGTTTCAAGCTTGAATATGCCAATCAAGCTTGAATCAAAATATAAATGACGCCGAATTTAATATTCTGAACTTAGTATTAATTATATTTATATGAGACTATAAATGACGCCGAATTCCTTTTAATATTATTGAAATTAATATTAATTTCATTTATATATATGAGACTATAAATGACACCGAATTTTTTTTCAATATTATTGAAATTAGTATTAATTTTATTTATATCAGTCTCATGCCGTCAAAATATAAAACTTAAATTGATCATCCACATATATCGTTATTTGTTTATTCTCGTGAAATACGAGGACCACACTCCACTGACCGTAACCATTAAGGCTATTCTCTTGTAATTGAACAGTTAGATATCAAAATATGAAAAAAAAAAGAGTATGTTGCGTTAATTTATTAGTGCTTCCTCCCAATAATATAAATAATATAAAAATTAGATAACTAATTTAAAAATATTGGTTAAATTAATTATTTGAAATAAATATATATTGATTTTTTTAAAATGTCATTACCAAGCGCATGCATTATAATTATCTTTTAATAACATCTTGATATGTGTAATTAATAAATTTGTTTAAAATAAATTTAAATTATGACACAAAGGGAGTTAACTATATTGATGGACAAACACGGCTTGGACTTATCAGAGTCAGAGTAAATTCCTACCTTATCTTTTTATAGCTAACGTGCGTCAGTTTGATTGAGGAAGATGTGATATGAACGAGGTAAGGGCAAGGCGGTGCCTTAAATAATGACTCTTTTGTCTGTACCATATAAAATGGCAAAATCACTATTAAATTTTAAAATAATAAATATGTGATTTTAACATATTTTGACTCAAAAACATTAGAAAAGTAGTCAAATACTCAAATTTTTTATAAGAGTAGTTAGCATGACATATTTATCATTTTAAAATTTAACAGATATTTTTCCTTTATTTTTCCTAATTAAGTTACATAAATTAAAAAAATTAGTTATTTATAAAAAATGTATTATTATTTTTAAAATATCATCTTTAACTATTTGCATTAAAATTACCCATAAATGAAAATCCTTTTAATATGTACAATCTCTCTCGAGCATTAGAGATTTTTTTTTAAAACCACGTTAATCCTTTTTGTATTTCCAGGATACTTAAAAATCTCACTCCCTACTATAATTAATGGATTACTCTTCATTTGATAACCCCTTTATTTCTTGGTGAGCATTGAAAATCTATAAGTAATTTTAGAAAATTCGAAATAGCGTGGCTTAAGTCTCTATTTTAAGATCTCAACTTGCTTTCCATTCCTGAAAAGCATGCAACCGAGCATCGTTCATTAACGGCTTTTTATTCTTTTTAACCTCTCTTTGCTTGCACGATAATATTTATACATACTTTAGTCACCATCCTCTTATGATCAGTCTTAATTCTTATTAAGAAGGCAAATTCTTTGAACCAACTGATTAAAGTTTATTTGAAATAATTCATTAATTTATAACTTAAAATTAATTAATGGTTAACATCAATCATTCTCATTTCTGGTATTTTGGTCATGAAAAATGTTTAGAAAAAAGTATAAATAAGAAGTTGTCGGGGCATGCATAACTGACTTGTGCCATTTATTTCTAGTAATGCAAGTGGCAATCTTCTTCCTCAATAGATGAATATACCGATCAAACGTGAATCAAAATCTGTGTATAAAATATAAATCACGATTAATTTCTTTTAACTTTGTGTAGTTAATATTAATACAAGGCAACAGCGGAGGGACTGTGGCTTTTCCAACTTTTCATACGTGCAAGTCATAATTGAATTAAAACTTAAAAGGTTAATTTTTCTCTTAAACTAAAAACAAAATAGATTAATATGTATTAACATAATTCCCACCTTATCTTTTCTTAGATACCACGTATAAATTGGTTGAAGAAGATACATATCAGGAGCTCCATTGACTTGAAGGTCAAAATAAATAAAAATTAAAAAGAATAAAGACTCGTTTGGCTCTTCTATAGAATATTCTACACGCAAAGACATAGATATTGCAGTAGTGGTAATAGAATTAATCAATGGTTAACATCAATCAATTTCATGTGAGGCATTATGGTCATGAAAGGCGTCTTAAAAAGTAGAAATAAAATATTGTCGTGGCATGTATGACTGAGTTATGCGATAAATTTCTAATTGCGTAAGTAATTTAACAATTAACATCATTTGTGGA